CTCTACCCAAGAGGCCATAGCAGTCCTGAGCTCAACCCAAGAGGCCACAGCACCCCTGATCTCTACCCAAGAGGCCATAGCAGTCCTGAGCTCAACCCAAAAGGCCACAGCACTCCTGACCTCTACCCAATAGGCCATAGCAGTCCTGAGCTCAACCCAAGAGACCATAGCAGGCACATCATCACTGAGAGCTGTACATCGAGGCACGTCAGCCCTGAGATACGTCCATTAAGGTATGCCAGCAGTGAGATCCACACATCAAGCAACACCAGCACTGAGATAGGTAGACCAAGTCGTGCCAGCTCTGAGATCCATAGACCAAGCCACACTGCACCTTCTCTAGTCCCATCAAAGCATTCCGAGCCACACCAGACATCTAATTTGCAAACATGTGAGCATATTAATGTTTATTATATTTATGTTTGTTTTTAGTATTTTTTTTTCTCTGCCAAATTATTTCAGCTATTTTTTCTTCATATTGTTTCTTACACTCTTTCTTATACAAAAATGACTAAAAGTTAAAACTTAGATGCATGTATGTTTATGCCAACAACTTCCAAAACTTTATATCTCAAGAATATTTTGAGATGTTGTAATTTGTGACGATACAAAATATTCCTGACAGTGATTAATCCACAACTTTAGTTGTTTTGCATGTTAACTTGCAAATTTGACTTGCATTGGAATACAGTTTTAGTAAAAATAGTAACAATACCAGAAAATGGTCAGTGTTTACCTAATTAAAGTGACTGAAAACTAATATTTGTCTTTGTTTTCTTCCTAGCCCTCCTGCGTAATATATTAACAAAACAGGAAATGATGATAGACCAACTGCAAATCCTCTTCAAGACCCTACAGAGTATGAAATCGGCTGATGAGTCAGAGACAGACCTGGATCGAAATTTGTTGCCACTTAAAGATGTCAGTTCCCTTCAGGACATGGAGGAACAACTGCATAGTAATCCTGACCTCCGGAAACAGTTGGTATGTTGGCATATCATCACATTTCCTAAAACTGAGGTGACTAGCTTCAGTGTTTTCCACAGACTTGCACTCTATTTGTGGTGGCACTTACCTTGTTAAATGTGGGGAAAGTAAAGCCGCTTTTCTGTGCGCACACATCCAAAGCACTCACACACAGACATCTCAGATGCACGCAAATACTGAATTGAGTTCTCTTCTGCTTCTTTTTGTGCTTGGATGAACAAATAAAGACAATGTTACATAAAAATGCTCATCTTTTCTAACGGACGTATGTAATTTGGAATGTATTTGAGAGAGAGAGAGAGAATTTTTTTTTTACCAGTGTCATCTATAGTGTTTCATGATTGATTAAACCATTGCTTAAAAAAATAATTCATTATGATTTCAGGTAAACACACTGGTTCTCAAAGGCGGGGTGGACGTCCACGAGTGCATTTGGAGGATTATGCAGGGACTGATTACTAACTCTTTGGCCCAAAAAATCAACATGAGAGGAATAAATGGAAAAATTGGTTTCCAGCGCTTACGTTTACGGGATGTTGTGATTGGTAAGTTGTACTTTATGTCATAAGAGTGGTTTAAGTATCATCAATTTTTTTAAAATTGATAATTCAGGTTACAAGGGGAGTAGAGGAAGAAAGCAGAGGAGAATGAGATGAGGAAATGAGTGAGAGGAGGGATGGAAAGGGGGAGGGGGAGGGAGAAAAAAGGGCAGAGCAAAAGGAGAGAGTGGAGAAATTGGGGGATGAGGAAAAAAAGATGAGGAGGGGACAGGAAGAAGGTATGCAGAGAAGGGAGGAGGCAGATAAGAGGTGGTGAGCAGGGGAGAGGAGAGGAAAAACAAGTCTGTTATTCTTTATTTTACAGTGTCCTTGCTGCATGTTACATGTACTTACTGTAATAATAACAGTTAATTATGAATAGTTGCAGTAACTTTAAACCAAACCCTAATATTAACACTATAGTAAGTACTTGTTAAATAATATTACTCTGTTCTTAAATTAACAATTACACTGTGTAACAAGAACACCATAAAACATAGTCTAACCGACAATTTCACTAAAACTGAACCCGGGACATTCTGGTGTGATATATACATGCAAAGAACAGTTTAAATCGAAAGTGTAGACATACAGTGGGTACGGAAAGTATTCAGACCCCCTTAAATGTTTCACTCTTTCTTATTGCAGCCATTTGCTAAAATCATTTAAGTTAATTTTTTTTCCTCATTAATGTACACACAGCACCCCATATTGACAGAAAAACACAGAATTGTTGACATTTTTGCAGATTTATTAAAAAAGAAAAACTGAAATATCACATGGTCCTAAGTATTCAGACCCTTTGCTCAGTATTTAGTAGAAGCACCCTTTTGATCTAATACAGCCATGAGTCTTTTTGGGAAAGATGCAACAAGTTTTTCACACCTGGATTTGGGGATCCTCTGTCATTCCTCCTTGCAGATCCTCTCCAGTTCTGTCAGGTTGGATGGTAAAGGTTGGTGGACAGCCATTTTTAGGCTTCTCCAGAGATGCTCACTTGGGTTTAAGTCAGGGCTCTGGCTGGGCCATTCAAGAACAGTCACAGAGTTGTTGTGAAGCCACTCCTTCGTTATTTTAGCTGTGTGCTTAGGGTCATTGTCTTGTTGGAAGGTAAACCTTCGGCCCAGTCTGAGGTCCTGAGCACTCTGGAGAAGGTTTTTGTCCAGGATATCCCTGTACTTGGCCGCATTCATCTTTCCCTCGATTGCAACCAGTCGTCCTGTCCCTGCAGCTGAAAAACACCCCCACAGCATGATGCTGCCACCACCGTGCTTCACTGTTGGGACTGTATTGGGCAGGTGATGAGCAGTGCCTGGTTTTCTCCACACATATCGCTTAGAATTAAGGCCAAAAAGTTCTATCTTGGCCTCATCCGACCAGAGAATCTTATTTCTCACCATCTTGGAGTCCTCCATGCGGGCTTTCATGTGTCTTGCACTGAGGAGAGGCTTCCGTCGGGCACTCTGCCATAAAGCCCCGACTGGTTGAGGGCTGCAGTGATGGTTGACTTTCTACAACTTTCTCCCCTCTGGAGCTCTGGAGCTCAGCCACAGTGATCTTTGGGTTCTTCTTTACCTCTCTCACCAAGGCTCTTCTCCCCCGATAGGGCCGGACGGCC